CGTTTATGCCTTTGGAAGGTTTGTGCCATGTTCTCACTCAATGGACACAAGTATAAAAGCGCGTGCGCGAGGATGGCAGAAGTATCGCATACCGCTCTTGTTTCCCATCGCAACCGCCAAGCGTTGTTCGCTCGCCATTTCGCCCGTCTTTGCTGACCGAGATAAGCGTTAATATTTTTATCTTTTTCTTTATACACGCTAAAAAATTCATTAGGCTACGACAAACAACGAACACATTTATATCTATGCTGAAAATTACAAATTGCTTACTACAGTTTATATGTTAGCCAACTATTCACCAACTAAAAGCTTGTTTTTCATGAACGCCGTGTGTCTAATTTATAAATTTGAGATGTAGTAAGCGATTAAATTGACTTGGCGATTCTGTCTCTCTACGGTTACAAGTTAGACTGATCCAGAGGGCTGCACCAATGTAACTAAAACTATTATTGAGATAGTTTGTTCGCTTGGAACGAGTCAGGCGCGTTCGGACTCGAAAGATGAGTCACTTATCTTTCGAGTCCTAACGTGCCTAACTCGTGGAACCTTTAGGCAGTAGTACTCCCTAAAGGTTCCAATCAATGCACACTTTGAGTAAATTCAATTATTTTGACTTCTGTCAGAGGCTGATAAGCAGTATCTACTTTCGATGAAACATAGAGAGGAGAGAACCTGGGTACAAGCGTACCTTGACCAGGAGAAACACGTATTGCGACACATGCAGGGTAAGTGGACTGAAATTTATGGCCTGTTTGAAAATATGGTGGATCACATATGTTGCAAAATAGAACACTGCTATTGGTTAAGAAAGGCGGTTTTTTTGTCTTTAACTACTGTAAGGCGTTACGTTTCGCCTGATTCCGCAGATTTTGTTGAATGAGTTCTTTATCATAGGTTTTTTTTTGGTCCTTTTTTGTTGTTTTGTGGTCCTGTTTCTGTGGCATATTTTCTCACCGCAGTAAGTTTACTTACAGAATTACTCAGAGCTTTTCCCTCGCAATGGTTTATTTTTGTATGCCTTCAAAGCTGTGGTGCTTTGCAACGTTTGAGAAGTCCAGCAGATTTTGTCGTTGTGATTGTATCAACAAAGGGTCTCTAAGCAGTTAATCGGATTAACAGACTTAAGTCCCTGAAAGATTTGGCGGTTGACTTTGACTAGAATACGAAATACTTGTACGCCATGGCGATTGAGATTTTCCTGTTTATTTGTTGTCTTCAGGACGACGAATCAATGGAATGAGTCCTCCATCCTCTCCTAGGGGAAATGGACTGACAGTTGCATGGCACGAACCCACCAGGGCCGAGGAAAAAAAGGAAGAGGCCATCAATGAGCTCAAGGTTTGATGCCTGCCTACTCATCCCTTCATTTCCATCTTATTACACCCTGGAGTTGCACCCCAATCTATTTCCATTCGTTGTGCTTGCAGGGCAATGCGTGCGTTATGCCTGTGTAGTTAGACTGTACGCGTCATGCACGCAGGCTGTTGTAGTGTATTTCACCGAGTTAACTGTTGTTTTTTTTTGTATGAAAACGTATTCTACCTGTATTAATACTTGTAATAAGAAATCGGACTCCCGCTCCGCGGTCGACCGATTTTGTTTATCACACGTAAAACTACAGACTGAATTGAGCTCCACTCAGTCCTATCACCAATTTTCAATTTTTTTTATCCTAAGAATCATTTACACGGAGTGAAATCGCGACAAAGTCAAAGTGAAGTTGTGTTGAGCAAAAGTGCAAAGGAATCCACACGGAGGCTTTACTCTAAACCAAAAACGGTACTGTACATACTGTCACGGGAGATTGACCTACTTATATTGATTTGTGTGCCTGAGTTAGTGTTCTTCGTTAGGAATTGAGGGATTCTTGTTAATCGCTAGTCTGGTCAGGCGCCGCTTTGAAGGAAACGAAAAGCGATTAAATCATTCAACCTGCATCGGAAATGTTTGAATTACGTTTATTTCTTGCATTGTCCGTTTTGGTTTTTCTGTTCTTTGACCCTTCCGAATAAGTCACTTACTCTCCTAATTTATCATTTGTGTTTTTGTTTCTTTTTTCTCTGTCTATATCGTTTTTGTTTTCAAAATATAATTTAGTTTAGTTTTGAATTTATGCGATGTTTGAATTTTTATTTTGTGCAGGTGAGAGTTAACGTGTTCCCAAATGGTGAAGGAAAGCAACGAAGTGTGGTTGCTTTTGGGGCCACCATGCAAGAGGTTTGTCTTTTTCCTTTTAAAATTTTTACTGCAAAGACTTGACTTTTTCTCTTTTCTTATGCTTGTTTAGGAATTCAACGAACCGACCTCGAATGATATGCCGCCCCACTACCATTATGACTTTATTCACTTTAATCTTAATTTTGATAGGTTTATATGTTATCATGTGACTACCATGACTTCTCCACCTGTGAGGCTATCTTTGATTTGATTGGCGAAATTTTGGGAACACCAGTAAAAAGTGTTGATAAGCAGAAACTTGAGGTATAGACAGTGTCCCCATTAGAAAGACATTCTGCCGGAAACAAAATAAGGGCGAAGCAAGTTTAAAATAATGTAGGTAGAGTTTTAAGTCTTTAAGTTGAAGGAGCTCTAGTATAGCTTTATTAAAACACCGGTATGTTAATCCCTTTTTAACTCTTGCAATTATTTGTGATAATTGCTCAGTTGTTAGATGCAAGTACCGCTCGCCTGAATTTGAGTAGCGCCGCAAGAAGACTTTTTACACAGGATGGCGACGAGGTGAGAAAATCAGCGATGGTTTTCTTAAGTATTCTTTGTTTTTACACCTACCATAAGCGATTACTTGCTTGCTCTGAGGAAAAGATGACCCTCTTCATATCACCTAACCACATGAAGTTAAAAAAATTACGCCTTCATATATCTTTCTCGCGCATCCTTGCCGCGAGTTTCGTGAAGACAACTGGGCCCTTCCCACGAAGCTTAGCTTTGTAACACATCTGGTTACCGGTAAATTTTTTCTGTGATTTCAGATAACGAATTTCGACGAAATAGAAAGAGATCAGTATGTTTGTGTGAGCTGTGGTGAAGGATTTCTTCGCGCCAGAGGTGAGACTCGCGTGTTTCAGTCGTAACAGTGTTTTCAAACCTACCACTAAATTCATCCCTTCATTACCAACAGAAGTTTTCTCTCACTGGTCTTAAAACCGCTTTATTACCCGGCTCTGTTATCTTCTCAGATCGTCAGCATCGTCAAGAACTGAAAGCCACCTGGTCTCGTTTGAACAGACAGTCCGGTGGTACGGTGATACCTGGCGAGGGACCGGTGACAAGGAACAGCGTAAGTCTTCAGAAATGAATGGGGTTATTAGTTGTTAAAGAATATGTTGTGCAGCGTTGGCGGGCGAGTGAGATAATCCATAAACTACTCTTGCTGAGGCACTTGTTGTCTGTAAAATTTATTGGATATGTATGGAGAGAACTGTTACACCTTTCTACACCCCTGGATATGTTCTCCTACCGTTTAATATTGCTTTGCTAATAAAGAGCGATGTTTGTCACGAATGTGGGGACGAGCAAAAGTCTAGACCCAGACCTTCTGATTTCATAGTCAGATGCTCGACCAATTAGCTACAATGAACTTGTCGGTGAGCCAGGCAGTATACTTGCTTCACATCTTGCAAGTTTGTTGCTAACTGTAAGGTTCCCTTTGAGCAACTACTTTCTTGTCAGTATGAGCAATCGTCAGCTTGTAATACACTTTAACTTTATTGTGTCGTTGTCCATTTTAGGTAACATTTGACAACACAATCCTTGCCCTGCCTGCCCCAGTCTCTCCGCCGCCTCCGTCGCGTGTTCCACCGTCACCCACAAGACAGATGTCTGTTCATCGAATGTCCAGCCGCCATTGATGATTGATTGACGGTTGTCAAGCAACATACAAACCGTTTTGTACCATGAATACTGTTTGAATGAAGTGTGAGATTAATTTTAAAAAATTGTATATTTCAAGAAGATATTTATTATGTAAAAATGGTACTGTTGTAAATAGGAAGATTAACAAAAAAATTTGCGTTATCCTTTCCTGCAGATGAATTTTAATTTTTTTACATTGATGTCATGCTTGGAATCGTGTAAAATTGTGTGATTGGTCGTGTTACCTCGTAACAAGAAACTGTTTGTTTAGCAGAGAATGGTTTTAGGTCATAGACATACACACAAGCAGAGTCGGTAGCTGCCTCGATCCTATGCTCATCCCAGCTTTACGGTGCCCTGGTTTGTTTTTTGTTGGTTGGGAATTAAATATTGTACGGGTTGATCTGAATAGCGTGATTAAGTTATTTCCATGTGAGTGCTGCTTTCTTTCTGCTGATGCAAAACATCGTGTCTTGTTCCAGATTATTAGTCTTTATAGAGACTTTTGAATTGCGTCGGCGGGCAAGTAATACAGTGGGTAAGAAATCTGTAGTTGATGTCTTGTCCATCGTATGTGGTCCTTGACTTATGATTAGTCAATAATATGCCACGTGACACAACCGACCTATCCCCTTGACGAGACCTTGTGCAAATGTGACAAGCATGTATTCAGTCAGAAGGGCGTTTTAGTTCTAGAGATTCAATAAATGACTTTTTAGAGAACCAGCTGTGAAATCGTGTGGAACATATTGGATAGACTAAGCAACATCTCAGTAAATCCCTCTTGGATGGACAAATGAAAGAAGTCATTTTTATCCTTAAATGCTTCAGAGTTGGAACTTTAAATCACTTATCACCTAACACGAATATTTTGGTTCAGCAAAGTTTTCCCACTTCATTTGGTAAGGATTGTTTTAAAACCCTTTTTCAATTCACGAACTGTGTGCTATCTGTGGAGGAAGGTTTGATGTTAAACTATTTTTATCTTTTCCTCCTGTAAAATTTTGTATGTAGCTATGGACTGTGGACCCTTTGAATGTTTCGTTTTCTAGTTTATTCTTACAAGGCTTTATGAGTTCGATGACGCAAACTAAAAAGCTACCTCCCGTTCGTTTTATTGATTTTATGTTTATAACCATCACAGAAGTAGTTTATGTTTATCGTAAGAAGAAACGGATCAAACAAGTGAAATCTCTTCATATAGAAAGATGCTATGTTCCCCGTTGTAAACAGAATGTTTCTTATATATTGTCAGTTGCTTTTCGTTGTAGCGATATATTCTGTCTAACATATCTTCAGGATCTTCTCCTTGAGTTCCTGAGCTTTAAGGTCACCGATTGTTTGAACGTGTATGACGTTGTCACTTTTTCCCAAGGCGATCTCTTTCAACTCATCCACGCTAATTTGATCTCCAATTCCAACAGCTATGATATTCACACCACGATCCTGACATAAGAACACAGTCATTTAGCTGTTAGTCAAGAGCGTATATCGATTGGGTTGCGTCAAACCAATGTAATTACATCAACCAATCAAAACAAAGGAACATCACAGGGAGGCAGTGAATATAGCTCGTGGAGACTCTTTTATAAGAACAACAAAATTTCTGAAAGCGCGGGAAAACAGGAGTGCCTAAATCGCGGTTGCGGTAGTTTTGTATTTGATTGGGTGAGAGTGGAGTAAGTTGAATGGACCAATCACAAGCGAAATGAGAGAAAACGACGCAGTCCCGGATTAATATCAATAGTCAGTTGAAAATTCCCAGAAAGTGCTCATGTGGTGTAACAAAACTAATAAACGTGCAAATGAAAATGCCTATCGAAAGAAAAAATGTGGAAGACTTACGGCTGTTTGGTTGGTCTGTTTTTACACTACACAAACCTTAAGAGGTGTTAGAACATCCTTATATGGCTCGCTGTTTTGTTCAGTTTTCCCTTCGACAATCACGAGTAGCACATCAGGGACGTTTTGTCTGTCTTTTCCTGCTTTGAACAACTCTTCTCCCGCCATTTTCAGTGCCTTGTCAGTTCTTACATCTCCATTCGGGAACTCCATAGCCAAGATCTTCAGTTTGAGGAGGACTGGGTTGTAAGAAGTCGCGTCTGTAAATCCGCAGATTAACCGGGGCTTGTTATTGTATAGTATTACTCCAAAGTGTGTTTTGCGTAAGTTCACAGAGAACCGGGAAATTAGTTGTAGGAGAAACCACTTAGTTTGAACGAAACCATAGTTACCAACGCTTCTACCGCCGTCGATGATCAGACCCAGGTCATACTGACCCTGATTGGAGCAGGTTCCTGGTCAGCAGAAAAGAATACAATATGCTTTTAAAGCATTGCCATTGAGTGTCTTTCGGTTAAGACTTAAGAATTCAGACCGGCTAATCAGAGGAAAGATAAAACACATCATTAAGAGCCAATGAGAACTCAAAGTAAAGCGAGCGCGAGAAAACGCTGATGACCAACTATTGGTTTAAATTTTGCATGTGATTTGCTGAGACCAATTACAATGTGAAGTAATATAAATTTTCTCGATAACCTACATGGCCTTCGCCTGTTTCAGGCGTTTAGTTGGTAAAACGGAGCGCGATATTAAACTGCGGAAGAGGGAAAGAACAAGAGATGCTTGGGAACGCGATCCGACCCAAGCCTCTCGCGTTTCACTAACTTCCGCTTAACGGCGACACTCTTGTCGCGCGATCAAATTCGATCGTATCAGGTTAACAAACTATTTCAAATTAACAAACCTTTCTCGCAAAACTTTCCACTGTACCCACTCTTACATCTGCATTCGAAACTCCCAAGCGTGTTCTTACATGCAGCGCCGTTTCTACATAGAAGTTGCTTGCACTCGTTTACATCTGTAAGGAAAAATTGTGTTTAAGTAGAAAAAAGAGCTCGAGATTTTAATCGCTATAGAGAGTTGCCTCTCGGTGGAAATCTCTAATATGACCAGTTGAATATCCTATTTTTGACTTTTCCAGGCTTTTGAATCTTTTTGGGAGAGCTGCGCGCCGGTTGGAGAGGAAACGTTCGGGGCACCCTTGCAATCATTCTGTATTTACTACGCAGGTTTTTCCCAATGATACTGCTTTAGCTAATTTTCTTGGCTCGAATACAGCTAAACGTTTCTTTTGTGGGCTCAAAAGTACTAGGTACTTGCACAGTCCTCATTCATCAAGCTCTCATTATTAGTGCTGCACGACGCGCGTTTCTCCGCCCGCGGGAAGATTTGAGACGAGTCGGGGAGACGTTTACCCAGAGTTTAGCACTAATAATGACGGCCTGCTGACAAGCTGTATCTTCACCAACGATGCTTCTTGGTGGTTATACTTCATTTTAAAAAATCAAAAACATAAATCTTCGCAATATCATAAAAAAATCAAGGAAAATCTTTGCAAGATCTTAGAGATCGAATTTAGGTACATGGTAGAAACACAATGATTGTCATACCAACATCACACAGCATTCCTGTAATGCCAGGTGGGCACAGACACTGAAATCCATCGTGTTTGTTGACACAGGTCCCTCCATTTTTACAGGGGTCGAAGCCAAGTTTACACTCGTTAACATCTGTTGGAAAAAGAAACCTCTTTATTTTTATGTGAAGTGACAGTTAAACACACGCTCAATGAATGCAGATACAACCGATCGAGAACGGGGAAATACCCGAAATCTTACCAGTCCGCAAGAAATTAAGGAGCAAAGTCTTATTTCCTAGAGGCAATATTCCTTAAAATCAACTCAAATGGTCTAAAGTTGCAAAGTCTATATTTATATGTTTAACCTACCATTCTCACAAAACTTTCCGCTGAATCCACTCTTACATTTGCAGTGAAAGCCACCAATTGAATTAACACATGTAGCTCCATTTAAACACAGCTGCTGCCGGCACTCGTTCACGTCTGTAAAAACGTAATATTTCTTTGAAATGAGACCTAAGGTTTTTAATCAAAGTAGCCTACAAGTAGGCCCATCATTATTAGTGCTTTGGCATGGGTGTTTCTTTTGCTCCCGGGAAAGAATAAGGTAAGGTCATGAGTTACGCGAGCCGGTGAGAGGGTACTGTGAAGAGTCTAGCACTATTGCCAGACCCCCTGGCAAAAGTCTCCCTGACTCGTCTCAAATCTCGCCGCGTCCTACAGCGCCAATAATGAGGGCCAGGCTATAGTCGCAAGTGCAGTTCAACCTTAGATTAAAAAAAAAAGAGATCAGAATTAATACTGTACTGCGTACAATTAGGATGTAGAACATGGTTACCACGGTTACCTTGTTCACACAGTTTCCCTTGCATTCCGGGGGGACACAAGCACTGAAAGCTCCCTATGTTATTAACGCACGTGGAACCTTTACGACAAGGGTTCTTTCTACATTCATCTTCATCTGCAGGAAAAACATAGAACAGTCGCCAATGGAGTGTTTAAAACCACCGTCTAATATTAGCAAGCTTTGTCATGGTAGTGACAGCTGTATTTGTGTTTCCTCCAATCCCCTAAGTAATATGCTAAGTGTGCATTTTATGAGGAAATTACAGCTTACTAAAAACAAAAATTTTTATAATCATCATAAGTAACTTGTTTAGACGTCCTTACCTCTCTCACAGAGTTTACCAAGGAACCCTGCGACACATTTACATTTAAAACCACGCCCTCTCCTTACGCAGCTTCCTCCATGTTGGCATGGGCTGCTCTGACATGGATCTAGAACTAAGCAAACGATTTGTCTGGCACTTTTCGGTGAGATACATTGAAAAGTTAGGTGCAAAATTTAGTGGTGATTTATAAGCTAAAATTACCTTCCTCGCAATTTGTCCCTGTGTAACCCTTTTTGCATTTACATTCAAAGCTACCCACGATATTTATGCACGTTCCTCCGTTCTTACAGGGTTGACTAAGTGCACACTCGTTTATATCTGTGATAGAAAAGAACGTGAAAGTTAGTTTAAGGTAAGATGTAGCCTGTTCCAGGCCATCAATTGGCAAAACAGAGCGAAGTTGTTAACGGCGCGATAGAAGCAGCAGAGCGAAACCGAGGGGGGCTTGGGTCGGGATTTAGCGTGCGACTCAAGCCCCCTTTTTTTCTTTTACACCGCTGCTAAACAATCGCGCTGTTTACTACCGCGCTTCGTTTCATTAACTAAACACCTTAAACAGGGTGGGTAAGATCACAAATCAACCGACAACCGTAATAGCATAAATTGTAAAACACGTAAAACCCCCTGTAGTGTGTGTACATTTTCCGCCAGAGAACTGGCTTATTCGTCTACGTCTGAATGAAAAAAAAGATTATGACCAAGAGCAATTTTGAATGACAATAGTACGAGTTGCGAAACTAGAAATGAATAAACTGTTCAAATATGGCGGCTGGTTTGCACACCGAATTTGGACGGCTGCGAGTTAAAGATCATATGACAGAAAGCATTCATTTATTCTGGGTCGACGTGGTTTGGCACATTTAGGTAAACGCTAATTCTTCATTAGTCTTTCGATTAAAATCAAAGAGGGCGGGTATGTTAGGGAGGTTCTGAAGCTAGGAGATGAGAAAACATGTTTTGCTTGATATTAGGGTTAATTGGATATCTTGGATCAATTCTACGATCTGAACAACTGCGCACCTACCCCTCCCCTTACCCAACATTAACCCTACCTTGCTATCAGTTGACTTTCGTTGGGTTAAAGGATGGGTAAGTGCGCAGTTGCTGAAATACTGACTTTGATCTGATACCTTCATCACACAGAGCCCCTTTAAATCCTTGTTGACATTTACAGCTAAATCCTCCAAGCGAGTTGATACAAGTCCCCCCGTTCTTGCACGGGTTGTTCGAGCACTCGTCCACATCTGAAACAATTATGCAATAAGATTAATGAATTATTCTCAGTAGAAATAAGTACACACCGTCATGACAAGCTCCACCGATTTTCTCTTACTATACCTCATTCGCGAGTTAATTTTAAAATGAAAAAGTATTTTTTTTATAAATTTAAATTATAAAGAAAAAGGAAATCATACCTTGATCACAAAGTTTGCCTTCAAATCCCTGTTGACATGTACAAGTAAAGCTCCCGGGGTTGTTCTTACAACTTCCGCCATTTTTACAAGGAGAATTGGCACATTCGTCTATGTCTAAAAGGAGAAACGTGTTTCTAACTGTTTTGCACAGATTTGGTATCGAGATTATTCCACACGAGGCTCATAACGTGAGGGCTTACCAGACCTTATACAACATAGATGATTGCTCAATAAGATAATTTCAATCAACGCTAAAAGTTTCATTAGAGAAGCAGAAATATAGAACAATTCCACTTGATAAGCTCAGTTGTCAAAGGGTGTAAGGTATGGATTGTCTGACTCAAGATACATAGTCTGAATTTTTTTCAAGTTTTCCATTTGCAGTCGGCGTCTAGTCTCTTCATCTTTAACTCCAAACTTAGTTCTTTTTGTCTGTTGTTGTTGATGTTTTTTTACATCTCTGTGGTGTTTGCCGTCCTTGTTAAACGATTGTAAATGTTTATTCTAATGAAGGGCCGTTCTCTACGACGCTAAAAATCACTAATATATTGCCAAGCAGTTTCTACTTCAGTTAGGTACAAACAGTAACTCTTCATAGAATATGAAATGAAAAAGGAAAATCGGAAGTCATAGAACAGCTGAGAAAAACCGGATGTCAAGAAAATGTGCGACGCAGGTGGCTTAGAAACCCATTCTGCATGAACAACCTCTGGGAATTTCGGAAAGACACTGAGGAGGAAAGGTAAATTGAGTCGCGCCAGATCAATTTTATTTATTTTATTTTCAGTTTAATAAGTTGAGTTAAATCTAACAGAAGGTTTTTCTCAGGTGATTAAGCGCGAGGCAAAGCAAAAATAAGGAAATTTCAGGCCATCTTCAACGCCATTAATCACGTATTTGTCAACAAAAGTTCAAGGTGCGGTTTTAACAACAAACGTACCTTCATCGCAGAGAGCCCCTTTATATCCTTGTCGGCATTTACAACTGAATCCTCCAATCGTATTGACACATGCCCCTTCGTTTTTACACGGGTTATTCAAACACTCATCCACATCTACACAGAAAATGAAACACCATTAGCAGCAGCATTTGACATACTACATTGCTCCGTAGACTCTGCCTCTACGTTCGGAATGCCGGTAACTACTCTCGGGCGTGCGAGGTCTGGTACGAGACGAGTGTAACGTCTGTTCAAAAACGTACCTCAGTTTGTTAATTACCTTTCGTCACAACAAGCCAATAATCGTCCAAATTTAGGAGAGTTAAAAAAAAAACAGTTAAAAGAAGATAAAGGATACCTCGTTCGCATAGTTTCCCTTCGAATCCTTGCGCACAGTTACATGTAAAGCCCCCTGAGGTGCACCTCCCCCGTAAGGGACTGGGGAAGAGTAAAATAAGAGGGTCCCGAACAAATTTAAGGTAAACATGTGGTCCCAGAGATAAATTACTGATAATCGTGATCACGATATATCAAACCATAGCCGAAAGAAACTTTCGTAGATTTTACTTACGAGCCCTTTAACTTTCGAGCATCGGTTGTTCAATCCAACACCGTTGCACCCTTACATCCGAGTCATTTGTCTTATACATGTAGTATCTATAAGGTACCTTCATCACAGAGATCGCCTTTGAATCCTTGTGGACACGTACAACGGAATCCACCAATCGTGTTCACGCACGTGCCTTGGTTTTTACACGGGCTGTTTGAACACTCATCTATATCTACACCGATAAAATCAAACAGAGTTAGTGAGCCATGTTTGGAGTGTGCATTTCTCCATTTCAAGCTGGAAATAGAGAATTCAAGAGTACTCTCGGAATTGAGAGCATTTTTTTAGTATTGAGCTCTCTTGAGCGATAATAGAGACTGAAAAGACCAAACAAATGTTAGAGTGAAGGCATCAAGGATGTCTGTGACACTTGCCACCATTCTGAAAATCTGGAAAATACTGACCAAGAAAGTCACCTGCCACATAGGAAGTTGACGATTTTTAAGAATGGAACCTTTCAGCGTACGCGTGGGAAAAGTGTACCCGTGGGGAATAAAAAAGGCGGAAGAAGAGCAAAAGAAGATTTTAAACATGCATTTCTGCATATTTTGTCAAAATAGTGACTTCGGTGTGAAAAACTGGTTTGAAGACATTTTCATGATATCGAATATTTTAAATTGCATTTTCTGAAGATGTGCATTTTTTGTGCTTTTTCGGATGTTCCCCTTAAATTTTTCAGGTCAAAGTTTTATTTAAATATCACAAAATTTGGCACAAACATTTTGCATTACTACTCTCACCCGAACGACCAGATTACACAACCAAACAACATGTTTTATCTGGAACGGTAAGGAAGAGAAAAAATATATTGACCAATATAATCTTACAGAAATATGGTCTAACTAATTATAAATAACATGAATATCTGATAAAAATTGATAAAATAGAATCTACTTTGTCCAAACAGATATATTTTCACGGAATTTTCAAGGATTAATAACTGTCAGATTATTGCTACCTTCATCGCACAGAGCTCCCTTAAATCCTTGCGGGCATTTACAGTCGAAACCTTTCAGTGTGTTGACACAAGTTGCACCGTTTTTGCACGGACTCTTCGAACATTCATCGTCGTTTTCTGAGTGTACACATACAAAATAAAGAAAGTAAATTTGATAAAGAATCAAATGTAAAGAAAGAGACCATTTTTTCCTTAAAATATGTCAGCAATTTTACAACTTAGACAAGTAATTCCGTTTTGAAATTTTAAGAAAATATTGTGAGGGGAAACAGTGTTTGGCTTGTACAAGGCTTGCAACAATGTGGAACATGTATTGATCGAAGAACTGAGCACAAAGCGTTTTTCGATTGAGTCTCGTAAAACCAAAGCCAAAGTTATCACCACAACCAATCAGAAGAAAGGAAAATACCCTTAAGAGCCAAGGAGAAGTCAAAGTCAAACCAAGCAAACTGCCTAAAGCGCGGGAAACGCGGGTGACCAAGTTGCGATTAGTTTTAGTTTTGCATCTGATTGGTTGAGAGAGTGGCACGAGCTTTTTTGGACCAATTACTGACACAAAAACAAAGTAAAGCAAAACTAATTCGATTCCGGATCATTTTCAATACTAAACTTGAAACTGCTCGAAAACCTAATGAAAGTCAGTTTATGTATTTACTGAAAGACAAATGTCACTCACTTGCGAGAGACCTTTATCAAAGGAATACTTCTTTTCTGGAACTCAAACTTCAGTTGTTTAGGTCGCGGAGCCATTTTTTTTTTTTTTTTTTTAATATCCCTAGTGAGATTCGTAGTGTGATTGGTTTTCCTAGGGGCACTCAATCCCTGGGAGTTCCCGTCAGCGTGAAGGTTCCATATAGAAGAAAAGCAAAGAGAATCTTACTCACCAATTCGATAGACATAGTTTACATTCGGGTATCCCGCACACTCCTTAGGGTCGTCCAGGTTATCACACAGTGAAAACGGTTGTTGAAAAATCATTACACATTGGTCTGATTCGCCATCACGCTTGTACCGTTTATCTGCATCAGATCCACTCCAACATTCTCCAAAGTTCTGCAGCCCAAAGTGTGTAAAGCCTCTCTTTCGTGTTGCCTCGGTACAACGGCAGGCCAGGCTACAGTGTATTAAAGAAAACGAAGATTAATAGCTGCTACACTTTTGGGGACGAGTTGAAGCGAAAAATATCTGTTGACCCACCCACCTCCCTTTCTATTTTTACTACCTCTATGACAAGTCACTGCATAGCATTTTCGTATGCAACCAAATGCATGAATTCAAAACCCACAATTTCAATCGACGTACTTAGTTCTAGGAAAACATTCCTCTACAAGACAGAGATTTCGCAAAATTTACACCCAACCTTAGAGCAAATGAGTGTGAACTATAAGTCGAAGGCGTGACATGTAATCATTTTACCTGTGAACGTAAGCTTCCCAGTTTTCCCAATCCACTTTGCCTCGGTCAGTTATCAATAGGGTGTCTAATGGTTTGGAGTTTGCTTTAAAGCAGCCAAGCTTCTTGTACGTCCGGTTGCAACTAACGTGAGGCGATGCAGCACCTTGGTGAAGAACAAGCAAGACTGACGTTACAAAATTACATGAACAGTGATTTGACAATGATAAATGTGCAACACAATCTATCAAAGAACGATGTTAGTTAGTCAGGACAAAGGTCAATTTCACAAGGACCCAGTCTTGATAAACTAGAAAAGTACCTGAAGCGCAGGAAACAGCGAGTGACTGAGTACGACGAGATTTAGTTTCGCAGTTTTTTAGTTTACTCCTCATTAGTTGAGAGGGCAGTGCAAGTCTTCGAGACTTAATGATTGTAGATATATGAAAATCGTATATGTGTACTGCGGTGAAGAAACGAATATAAGAGATCATTGCAGCTATAAACACTACTGAACTAGTAGTTGGAATAAGACCTGAAAAAAATTCAGGCCCGTACGGGATTTGAACCATGACCATGCACCGGTATCGCAGAGGTCGTGGGTTCAAATCCCGTACGGGCCTGAATTTTTTTCAGGTCTTATTTCAACTACTAGTTCAGTAGTGTTTATAGGTGCGAGGATCTCTTATATTCGTTTCTTCGAGACTTTTAGACTAATTGCTCTGACGAGGGGCTAACGCTCAAACCGTCGGTTTTTAAACTCTTTACCGTGGCCAATTAATGTCATCAACTGAACTCAGTTAATAAGACTAACTTGCCCTCTTCTGGACTGAGCCAATCAGACACTGTGCATAATGAACAAAGTGAGTAAGTTCGGTTCTAAAGAAACTGTAATGCAGCGTCGTTGGCTGTAATACAAGATAATTTCGTTTTTACCAACTGAGTTGATAATGTAAATTGACCGTCGTTAAGATGTTGAAAACTGATGTTACGAGCGTTATCAGCCTTCTTTAGAGCAAGTGACTAATAACGTTCCAAACATCAGCTTTAGAATCATTTTACGCGGGTGGCAAATTCACATTATCAACTCAGTTGATAAAACTAAATTGAACTGTGCATAATGCCACACCGGGTTTCTATACGTATCATTGTGGAACCTTTTTTTAGAACTGATTAATACGTTTAACATTAAGCTTCACTTACCTGCGGCAACATTTGTAAGTCGGCAAAGAACGCCAAGCATTAAGATACCTCTGAGTGTCATCCTTATTATCTGTACTTAATAACAAATTAAAACAAAACTTGGCTATTAAAAGAACTCTTGGCGAGAGAAAGATCTACCCGAACACCTGTAAATCATTTACTAACACCCAAGCTAAAACAAGTTTTAATTTAAGCTGTTTTGTAAAACACGGTTTGAAATGGTTTTCTTCTGTGAGGTTTTAATTGATCTTTGTTGACTTCAAATTTAGCACAACGAAAATCAGTAAAAGTTCGTGATTACTTGAGCCCTATGGAAAATCTAGTATTTTAGTTTTCTATGATTGATTTTTACTCATTTAAACCTGGTTTAACCAAACATATTTTGCTGGTGTAAATGGAGCAGGTTACCGCACCCTTCTTTTATCAACTGCGGTTGGATAACAGACCCGGACTATGATGCTCAATATTGCTCATCTCAAAACAATCCCAACCAAGAAGTAAACTGATAACTGGGCTCTCGCTTAGTTCCCAGTTGATTTCTGAAGATTTTTGAGAAGTGCATAGCGGTGCCGGCCTATGTGTTGCCTAACTCCACTCTTATTTTCCTTCTTGTTACTTTAAATTGTATTCACCCAAGCCTTTTCAAATTAAAATTCTCAAACGCAAATTTTAAAGCCATTTGCTACAATGGCTCAATAATTTGTCTAAACAATGAGCGGTTGTAATCCAGTTTGTAATTTTAATCAAGATAACTGGTGCCGGTTGGTACTGTTAGTAGCATTGTAAGTAGTGTAATATTACCTGTGTTGCCACAATATATATATATATTAAAAAAAGCAACGAAGATGTTATGTGATCCATAGGTAGCCTGCTTTGACCGAGAAAAATTTTAGTTTTTGAGTGACTCAGATTTTTTCGATAGGGATCGCAAATCAATGTTGATTTTAAGTATTAAACATCTTACCCTATTTCGGCGTCGGCGGAAAACTGGAGCCATATGAAGAAGCAGATCAGTCGAAGAGTAAAACTTTGTTTCTGTTTGTGAAGTTTTTCTTTTAGATATTTTTTCCCAAAGTCAAGAAATCGGACGTCTTCAGTAAGAAATGTAAACAGTTGTCGGATTCCTAAATTAATCCCAGCTCAGTTTCAAAGTAAGCAAGCAAATAAACTACTTTCGTTTAGCTTATGGATCGCTTCTACATTCTCCTTGCATAATTTTCGTCTCTCGTTTCTACATAAATGTTCTCCACTTTTCTTTCAAGTACAAACAAAAGTTCGAATGTCCCGTTTTTAATTTCATGATCTCAACCAAATGTGAATTCTAAAACACAATTCAAAATTGAATTGTTTCCTCCTTCGGCGCCTTATTTGTTTTTTTAATTAAACACTGCTTTCAGCGTATCAAGTAACTCGAACCTAAGTCTTTGTAATAAATCCTTATGTTTTTTTGCTTTTTTTAGGGCCTATAAATTGAGCATTCCTTCTTCTTTCATTCTAAACTAGAAATCGGAAATAACAATAACAAAAACAAAACAAACAAAAAAACTTAACAATATGATCTATCTGAAAGTGTTGTCACTTGGAAACCGATTTTCTCTCTGAAACTACGAGCTTTACAAATTCTTGCTATGACGCAAGTCACATGATCACGTTGCTAAGTTATGGCGCATTTCAGAAAGAGAGTTGTTGGAAGACATCTACCATGAGTTTCCGACATTGTAAAAATTATAGGCATGCTAAGCATGTAAGAGTTATATTTTCGACTGAGAGGGTTGAAGTGGGACACTGCGTAAATGATGTTTTCATTTGTGTTAAACACTGAAGAGCATTAACCTTTAAAGGAACGAAAAATCGCAATATTTTAGCCTAAGAGAGAGAGAAAAAACCGTATAATTTGTCTGAAATAAATTCACTCACAGGTATTTTGTGTTCTATTGTGTCTATCTCCTCTGTTGTCTAAGTAATTGTAAGCAAAAATAGCCTGCATTGGTGCCACGCGTATTGTCTGATCTTGTCAAGCAAGATGGCCCCTTGGAGAGAGAGAGAGCATGTTGCGCGACGAGACCAAAATTTGCTGCTAGGGGACTTTGCTTACTCCTGTTTCTCTGTCTGAGAGAAAATAAAAAATGTTCCTTTACACGTAGTTGCTCTAGGATATCATTTCACGTAAATGAATTGCGGAATGCAAACCGAAACCCTCCAAGTTAAGCCCATCAATTTTTCTGTTTAGTTTATTCTAACCTCGTAGTGTTCGTCTGCTTTCTAAAGCGAATAACATCTTCTTCAAAAGATTCTCTTCCTCATAAAAAAAAAAAACAAAACACAAAAAAAAAACGAAAAAAAAAGGCGCTCTACTGGCGTGACACACTCGCCTAAGTAACACAACTTTGTGATGATGTATCAATGGTGAAGTCCCTTTTTGGAGGCGTTGTAAGACCGCTTTAAAGTTCATCGCATATCCCAACTCCCAACTAAATTCAAGGTCGAGCTCTTTCCCCCCCAGTATTCAGACCATGTCAGGTTAGAAGGGGGAGCCCTCTATCTCAGCGCCTCAGGGGTGGGCTGAGACTCGTCACAAGGCTATAACCTTAAAAATAGACAATTACTGCCAGTTTTGACATAAAATTTGGCTGCTTCACTTTACAAAGCAACAAAGGGTTCAAAGTTCGAGTCGTGGTGAGTACAATATTTGATTATTGTTAATTTGCTGATGTGTTAGTGTGATATCTCATCAATTTTACAATACATATTTTCACGCCTTTATAATCAAAGCTGCTCTTACGTAGACCATTGGTAGATGTACTACATTGAAAACGTCGTTCTAATTAAATTCCCTTTATGTTTTAAAAATGCTTTTCATATCCTAAGGAAAACAACCTCTTGCGCATTAAATCGGTATTTATGCCGTGTTTAGTCAAATTCGTTATGATCAAGAGAATATTATACCTGTTGGTATTCTCCTGGTTTCATTCATGCCTATTCAGCGTTTGGATAACAATCGAAATGCTTGTATAAACTTAATCAAATAGACATGCCTAAGTTGCGAACAAAAACGTTTTGAAAAGTTTTGTAAATATTTATTGCACAAGCAGGGCCAGTTATCCTCGGCAAAAAAAATGTTCCGATTCAGAAAGATAGTAACCGATGTTGGTGTACCCAAGGTAAAAGATGGGTAAAATATGACAGTTCGAAATCGAATTTTTTTTTATAAAAAAGGTTCATCAAATGAGCAGAGATTCTTCTCCTCAAAAAAATCTCCGTTTAGACACCTTTAATATTGTTGCCTTGGCCGTCCTAAGTAGCTTAAGGTTTTTTTCGGTGCCGGTGGTAACGCAGAGTATATTCACAGTATTGCTACATTTCAAATTAATTCAAGGCGGGCAAATCTATTGTTTTACCGATTAAGCTGCTACTTTTTTTCACACTTTTTATTAACCTTCATCTCTCTTTTGCAGGGAAAGCGTAATTTCAGTTTCTTACTCTCGTCTTCCTCAGTCATACGATCAAAATAAACAAGGCACACTTCCTTGTTCAAGGGTAAGTAACAAAAATAAAGAAGAAATTAGCTTGCTTTCCTTTTCCTATTTTTTCTCTTAATGTCTTCGCCACCTCAAATCAGGCGCAACAGGAATCAAATTCAAGAACAGCAAATTCTGATGACAAAAGAAGGCATATTCTGTTTTCCTAGGTGAGCTGTTGCTGTTGTTGTTTTTTTTAATTTCTATATTTTCATTGCTTCCCTAGTTTCATTTTCTATGAATTAAATCCACATTATTGTTTTACCAAACAAAACATTTTACCAAACATCTGGGCACAGTTGAATGGTTTCATAATTCGTTTAATTGTAGAATGTATTTTTTTCCGTTGGGTTTATGTCCATCAAATTTGTCCGCAATGTAACATAAGAAAACCTACATCACGCAGATTTCATTTGCGTGGATTCTGAATCAAACAACAATGAAAATCAGAGCAGAGTAAGACCTAGCCTGCAGTGCAGGCGTCTCATTAGTGCGAGCACGTTATAAGCTCGCGATCGTTTATCCTACCGGCTATGTTTTATTTGGAGTTAGAGTTGATGGTGGGGGTAGGGGGCGGGGGAAGGGCGAGAAGACGCCTGCCCGAAGAGGCTGTTAGGAGGTAAAACACCCTGCACGTCACTGCATTTCCTGAAATGAGCAGGTAACCAATCAAAATGAGTCAACCGGAAGCACTGTCTTTCGACAAAAACAAACACACGTAGAGCCGATGAGTAAAACGGTGGGCAGTTTTTGTTGTTGTTGTTGTTTTCAGCCAGAAAAGAAATGACCTCGAGAAAACCTACTCTGCATTCACAAATATGAGCTGATATTTACTACACTCTATATTTTCCAAACTACAATCCTTGAGCAGAGCTGCTGTTAATCTATTTGACAATTTTTCTTCCATTTGGTTGTAAAAGATATTTTGAAGAAACAAACAACTGCACTCGAAGGTTTACCCGCCATATTTTGTTTGATGCAAACCGGAATGCTCTGGTGAAACGGACTGGCTGTTTTTTATCAACGAAATAAATGGCTTCACCAAAACATTCACTGCTGACACAAATACGAGTTAATATTTGTCGCACTCTATATCCTTCAAATGACAATCCGTGGGCGTATTTAGGTAGCTACCGTTAATCCGATGAAGATGCTTATTCCAATCAATCATAAACATTACGTTGAAGCGGACAAACGACAACTACGCTCAAGTTTCCCGTCATAATTTCTTTAATAAGAACCAACACCTTAAATATCAGGCTCTTCCAAACGCCAACTGTAGAAATTGCTTCTTTGTGTTCCGATTGTTAATGCGCGAGAAATTTTAAATTCCGAAAGACACTTAAGTGCTTCCTCGAGAGCGAAATCGAAACTATAACTTCATAATTAGAGTTCACCATCATTCTCTTTCTCCCGTAAGAGGAAAATGTCAGAATGACGCTCAAATGACACCTTTGGCTTGTGATTGGCAGCCGGAGCTTGACCGCACCATCTTATTTGAGAGTGGCAGGGTCTATGACCTTCAATGTTATTTCTGTCGACCGCCTGGTCGTGGTAGTGCGTCAGCTCGTATCCAGAAAGACCAGAAAGTGTCCGAATCCATCGAATGAAAGATCTGAAAGAATATCAACCCAAACGACCCAAATAGCTGAAACGGTAAAATTCGTGAGAGTTTTGGTGTCATTTTATGCCGTCCGAGAAGATAGTAAAGCAAGCAATGAGCCAGTACACAAGGAAAAATTTTGTGTACCAGTTAGTGGTACACAAAATTTTTCCAAGGTCGTCATGAAGACCTAAACGAATTCAAAAGCCACGTTATATCCTTTACTGACATAAAGACAGTGCCGCACAAAAGAGGACTGGGTAAAGCTTTGACATAAATATTGCTCGTGTATCAAAGAATAGTAAAGGTGGCGTAGACGTCTACTCAATTCGTACGCAAGACTGTAGGAATTGAAAGTTGAATTGACAATTGAAAGATAGCCAAATTAGCAAAGTTCATACTAGTTCACGCGAGATAACTTATGAGCCATATGTAGGTACACACTAGGAAAACAGTGTGATTACTACGACTACTAACTTATTAAACAACATACTATGATAACTATGATGCCCAGACGAACACCTCAGATGTTGAATTAAAAAAATCAAAAATCTTCGTGAACAGAACTTCGAAGGTGAGGCAAACAACAAGCCGTTGGATGAAGACGATACTCAACGAAGCAACTTTAATTAGCTTAACTCTTGTGTTAAATATCCTGATTGTTTAATTTGTTTTTACTTTGTTCGATACTTGTAAAGTATGTGGGTGATGTGTGATTGGAACCGCCCCTTTGCCACCCTCTTACTTTTATCATAACGATGACTTCGGGCAGGCGCAGGCGTAATCTTCACTCCCCACCCCACCCCTCTCCTTATTTTCGACCGTCGACCGCCCCCTTAGTACAAATTATTTCTTTCTTTCCTCCGCCTTCCGCTGCCATCACAATCAAAGATGGCGGCCATAATTTTCGTTAAGAAAAAAACCGAACCCTCACTCCCCAAAATTAGCCTGCTTTGCAGGCTAAGGAAGACCCTGGTTTTTGGACGGTAGCAAATGGAGGGGATCCTGATCCTGTTTCACGCACAAATTTTAGAAAAATTCACGCGTAACGTTTTTAAAGGAAAAACTTCAAATCTCTCTGCTTTTGTACAAGGTTTCTGGGAAATATCGAGATTTTTACGAAATGAGAGAAGAAAACAGGGTTAATTATATTTCAGGAGGCAAATCACGCCTTACACTAGATCATAGATTCACAAATCACGTTCGCCTTTCTGTAAAATTCACGCCTCATATCTTAATTTTGGCCTTAATCACGCTTCATGTGTAAAAACCTTTGGCGCCCTCCCTTTGGAAGTCAGTTTGACAGCTTTCGCACGATACTGCGATGAAGTACAGAAATATTAAATTCAAAGTTCATTACCGAAACAATTTAAACAATAAAACCTACTTGCTCCAAGTTGACCAAGTTAACAAACATAAACGTGGGTAAAACCACTATATAATACTTACTTTTTTTCTAATCTTTATACTGATTTTCATTTGGACAAATATGATGAAAGAATACCTAAGAAAGGAAACATCTACTTTAATATTTCAGTTGTTGAAGGTTGAAATGCACTGTATTCACTGAAAATCTATCAATGCCAGGCTGAAAATTTGATTTAGAAAAGAACTTTGGGATTTCAGCTGCTCACTGAGCTGAAGTGAGTGACAAGCTGGTGCATGAGTGACAGGCGTGTGTACAAGATGAGTAGGGAAGAAAAACCTGCTTTATAAACAGACTAAAATTGTTCCGCCATTGGCTATTCGCAATGACGGACGGCTTGTGCTTGCATCATATCTCCTGATTGAGATGATAGGAATAATTTTTTTCGAGAAAGGTCAAAATATTTCTTCAAAATTGAAACGTACGAATAACATAGATGCCATTATTTTAAGTAAAAGTCCGAGAAAACTTACTGCCTTAACTAAAGGTGTTATTAAAAAAAATTCTCTCCTGTTTCAGCAGCGAGGCAGCTAAGTGAGTTGCAGAGGCGTGAATGTGGCGAACACACGCGCGAGACGCTCGCGACGCGTGAAAGGCGCCAACGTTAATCGTCTCATCCTAACAATCCTATCCTATCATTGCATGATCAATAGAAATTCAAAATGTTGCCTATCGTTTATTCAATAAATAAGATTTAAATATACATGCTTTGAGTTGAAGTCAAATGTTTGCCTAGTTTACCGCTTATTGCAACACTCTCAGGGGAAGTCATTTTCAAGCAATAAGTTGTGAGCAGATTCAGATATGACTAATTGGGTAGCATGCAATAAGTTGAAGACAACAATGATAACACAATTGGTAAATTAAGCGCTGCTCTATTGGTGAGACATTTTTGATAGCTATATTCAATTCTGCTGAACGACTATTTGAATTCAACCCGGCTGATGCAATTTGGATTGGTTTGGATAAAAGATTGAAAAGGAATGTTGCGCTCAGACATTTGTTAAAGAAACAAACGACAACCTCCCTAGAAACAGCTAGGTACTTCAAGATTTATCAGTTTTACTTTTTCTAAGTTTCCTATTTCTGTTGATTCTTTCCCGTGACAACAAACAGGAGAAAGCCATGATGAATCACGAAGCAGAAATCCTAAAGTCAGTCCAGATAGGTTTAGATATCTGCATATTTCTTCTCAACACTGATCGTGGCCTACAAGCGACTGAGTTATGTAATGAATGTACAACTCTACTTCAAAACCTTGGCACTGGTATTCAGCTTGATATCTCCCATGTAATATTCAATGCTTACTTCGCCATCTCTGGTTACGCAAATGCAGAAAGATACACTAATAAACTTCTTGAAACGCTCCTCAACGTTGGAATACTAACAACACGACTGGGAGACAAATATGAAGCACAAAACCGGTTTGTAGAGGGAAAGCAACTTTTTAAAAGCGCATTCGCCATCTGGAAAACGACTGGTAGAAAAAAGGGAGAAGCTGAGGTTCATGAAAGACTTGGAAATGTAGGTTACTACCTATGTGAAATGCAGAAGGCAAAAAAACACTACCAGATAGCACTTGCCATCGCAACAGAAATTGGCGACAGACAAGGTGAAGGAAGAATTAACGGGAGCCTCGGAGCTGTGCTTGATTCCCTTGGCGAATATCACAAGGCTAAAGAATATAACGAGAAGGCACTTGCCATCGCGATAGAAATTGGTGACAGACAAGGTGAAGGAAGAAGCAACGGGGACCTTGGATCTGTTTTTCAATCTCTTGGCGAATATCAAAAGGCTAAAGAATATCACGAGAAAGCACTTACCATCGCGATAGAAATTGGCGACAAACGAGGAGAAGGAAATATTAACGGGAACCTCGGAGCTGTGTTTGATTCCCGTTGCGAATATCAGAAGGCTAAAGAATATTACGAGAAAGCACTTACCATCGCAATAGAAATTGGCGACAGACGAGGAGAAGGAACAAGTAACTTGCATCTCGGAAATGTGTTTATTTCCCTTGGCAAATATCAGAAGGCTAAAGAATATCACGAGAAAGCAGTTGCCATCGCTATAGAAGTTGGCGACAAACGAGGAGAAGGAAGTAGTAACGGGAGCCTCGGAAATGTGTTTGATTGGCTTGGCGAATATCAGAAGGCTAAAGAATATCACGAGAAGGCACTTGCCATCGCGATAGAAATTGGTGACAGACAAGGTGAAGGAAGAAGCAACGGGGACCTTGGATCTGTTTTTCAATCTCTTGGCGAATATCAAAAGGCTAAAGAATATCACGAGAAAGCACTTACCATCGCGATAGAAATTGGCGACAAACGAGGAGAAGGAACAAGGAATGGGAATCTCGGAGCTGTGTTTCATTCCCTTGGCGACTATCAGAAGGCTAAAGAATATTACGAGAAAGCACTTGCCATCGCGATAGAAATTGGCGACAGAGCAGGCGAAGAAACAATTCACGGGAACCTTGGAGCTGTGTTTGATTCCCTTAGCGAATATCATCTGGCTAAAGAATATCACGAGAAAGCACTTGCCATCGCGATAGAAATTGGTGACAAATCAGGAGAAGGAGCAAGATACGGGAACCTCGGAGCTGTGTTTGATTCCCGGGGCGAATATCAGAAGGCTATAGAATATTACGAGAAAGCACTTGCCATCGCAACAGAAATTGGCGACACACGAGGAGAAGGAACAGTTAACGGGAGCCTTGGAGCTGTGTTTGGTTCCATTAACGAATATCAGAAGGCTAAAGAATATCTTGAGAAAGCTCTTGCCATCTCGATAGAAATTGGGAACAAACGAGAAGAAGGAAACATTAACGGGAACCTCGGAGCTGTGTATCAATCCCTCGGTGAATATAAGAAGGCTAAAGAATATCACAAGAAAGCACTTGCCATCGCGATAGAAATTGGTAACAGAATAGGAGAAGGCTCGATATACTCGAAACTTGGAGGTGTGTATTTTGAGCTTCGAAAAAATCGGCAAGCTAAAGAATATTTGGACAAAGCAGTTGACGTCAGTTTAGCAATTGGTGACAGAAAACTAGAAGCCTACGCTACTGCAGGTTTGGCAGCTGTCTTTGCTTCTGTTAATGACTATCAGAAGACAAAAGAACATTGTGAGAAGGCGCTTACCATCAGCAGAGAATGTGGCAATAGAAAGTTCGAAGCAGAAATTTACCTAAAGCTTGGAAATCTATACCTTTCGCTTGGTGAAAGTGGCAAGGCAGAAGACTACTTAGAGAAAGCTCGTTCCATAAGCAGCCAGTTTGGATATAAGATGACTCATTTTCAAAGCCTTCTTGGTATTACACAGTTAAAGATATCACAGTCGGAGGTTGTGGAGGCAAACCAATGTCTTCTTCAATGTATCGGCAAATATGAACAAATCAGGACTTTTCTGAAAGAAAACAGTGAATTTAAAATGTCTCTGTTAGAAGAACATGGTACTTTTCCCTACCAGTTACTCACTAACTTGCTATGCCGTATTGGAAAATTTCGAGATGCTCTTTATGCTGAGGAGCTGGTACGAGCAAGAGTCCTCGCTGAATTCATGGCAGATAAGTACTCCCTGGAAAGCCACTTCACAGCTGATCCACAATCATGGTTCGGGATTGAAAACATCATGAAGAGAGAAAGAAACTGTGTTTGTTTGTTCCTTTCATATAGAGAACGGCAAGTTCTTCTCTGGGTATTGAAAGCAAATGGAGACATTTTCTTCCGAGCAACAGATGAAGCGGAAGTTGACACCCTAATTGCTGAGAAAGTTTGCGACGTGGAAGGAGTTTTCAAAAAGAGCGCCGCCGGCTTTGGAGTTTTACCCGCAGCAAACTGCGAAGATCGATCATTGAATGACGACGTGACGACATCTCTTCATGAAGAGAGCCGGGCAAATTTGCGAGGTGACGAAACTAAAGATACCGAAAGAACTCATCAATTGTGCTACAAATGGATCGTCGCACCTGTGGCAGATTTACTTACTGAGCCTGAAATCATCATTGTGCCCGATCGATTCTTGTATCGAGTCCCATTTGCTGCCTTGTGTGATGAACCAGTCGGAAAGTATTTATCGGAGAAGTACAGAATACGCATCGTCCCTTCTCTAACGACTCTGCGGCTCATCCAAGAATGTCCTGCGGAATATCACAGTCTTACTGGCGCACTGGTTGTGGGTGATCCTACGGTTGGCAAAGTGCATTACAATGGACGTCTTACTGACATTACACCATTGTTTCATGCAAATAAGGAAGCAGAGATGGTTGGTCGACTGCTCGGCGTTCAGCCTTTGTCAGGAAGTCGCGCGACAAAGCAGGCGGTACTTCAAGCGATACCTTCAGTGAGTCTGATACATCTTGCTGCTCATGGAAATGCCGAAAGAGGAGAGATTGCTCTCTCTCCTCAATCTACCACTAACGGTATTCCCCAAGAGGAAGACTACCTCCTGACAATGTCCGACATTCAGGTAGTTCAGGTGCGAGCCAAACTGGTAGTACTCAGCTGTTGTCACAGTGGGCGTGGATTGGTAAAAAAGGAAGGAATTATTGGAATCGCTCGAGCTTTCTTAGCATCCGGTGCACGTTCAGTGTTGGTAGCATCGTGGGCTATAGAAGACGAAGCAACGGCTAAGCTCATGGAACATTTCTATGAACACCTTGTTCGTGGAGAAAGTGCCAGCGAATCTCTTCACCAGGCCGTTCAATGGTTGAGAAGCAACGGCTTTCCCAAATCTTCCCAATGGGCTCCGTTTGTGCTTATGGGGGATAACGTGACATTCGATTTTATGAAAAAAAGGTAAGTCTGAGCGTAATGTGCAATTATCTATAATAAACCGATTAGCACACTAAAATTGTTCAGTTGACCAACTTTTTTTGTTTGTTCGTTTTTGTCTTAGTCTTTCATTCATAAAATATCAAGAAAAAGAAGACTATTTTATCTAATGCTAGGAGCCGGAAGAATTTGATGAATTGCTTTCTAGAATTTGCCTGGAATTAGAGTTTCTTTCGAATGGAAGATATTTGGAAATAATTGTTCAAGGCCGATACGATGCTAGACACTTTGACAATGAAGGTAATCTGAGAATCTTAAGCTAACACTAAAAAAGTTAACTTTATTTTGTAAAAAAAAAAACAATAACGACTAAATGATAATTTTAAGGGTACTTTCGCATCAAACATTTAGAAAGATTGGAAAATCATGGCCTATGACGATGAGGAAGAAAGTAATTTATTCTATAGGAAATCAGTTCTGCATGCTTTAAAGTTAAAAAGAGTAGTAAATGTATGTTTTTTTGTGTTTTTTTTCAGGAATGAAGAACTCAAGGAGGACAACAACGAGGCAGAGAAGGAACAGAGTCACGACTGAAGAAAAGATTCTTCTTCCTGTACATTGTTTTAAAATGAACACTGGTATTACTTTTCGTAGACAATTTTCACTTTTTTCTTAAGTCAAGTACGTTTTTGCATGCTTTGTAAACATGACTGAATCGAAAGCGAACGACAACGAAACCTTTAATTCAGCCGTTAGATCTATTACGTATATCAAAAGGGAACTAATATAAGTTGGGACACGAAAAGTTATCTTAATGTTCAAAAATGTAAGAGTGTTGGCAAGGTTTCGTCAGAACTCAAAGTTAATCCTTGATTTAAAGAACCGTGATCTGGTTTTCAATTCTCGCTTACTGTTGTCTGCTTTGCAGCCCTTATTTGGTCAGGTCATACAATGCCCTTCCTACCCCACTGAGGAGAGAGCACGTAGCGTGACGAGACCAAATAAAGGTTGCTGCCATTCCTCCGTTAGAAAAAGAGCGGTAAACAAAACACGTTTCAACTCAAAAAACGATACAAAAAATTACCTGCTAACCTTTCTTATCCCGATAAATCTCGACCTTAATCGACGAGGCTCTCGCGAAGGCCATAAACCATTACACTTAAAAATGAACCCAAAATGTTTAGTGGATGTCATTCTTTGTGCATGGCCCCCTTCTTACACGAAATCATTAGCAAGAAAGCAATACTCCAACCCTGTAATTGGTACAAGATATCCAAATGCTGTGATATGAGGTGTCCGAGATTAAAAACCCTAATGCAGCAATCTGATTGGTGAGAGATACATGTACATATCCTAGTGTGGCGATCTTTAGTGAAGCAGGCAACATACCACTCGATACACTGACTTAAGAGTTTTTTTCTTATAAAAAATAACTGAAAAATGAGACTCCGTAATTATTTTAAAATCATTTTAGATTTCGAACTGAGATGTTCCACAAACTGGTCGGAAGGAATAGCTATGTGCTCGGTTTCTTTGTGAAAAGCGTCCTTCTTCTCACAAGTATCATCTATGTCAAAAGCTGAAGAAAAGAGTTTGAGAACGGTTAAATTTCAAGCTTAAGCGTCCCATTGAGAAATATTCGTTTCATACGATAAAATCTAACATACTTGTGTTTAGCAGAGTCTCTCTGTTTTCATGGGTGAGAGGGTTAGGAAATACTTTGAGACAGAGAGTTGAAATTTTTCAGACAAAAAACCCTCCATCATATTTGAAAAGTCACTTCTCAGATCACTAATTATCTTACCAAAGCCACAAAGTACTATTACGTTACAATCAGATTTTAAAAATTATCAAACTCATTTGTATACATAATGAGAAATAAATTAACAATCATTGTTTCAGCAGACATTACATTCTCACAGGTTGAAGGTGATTTTTTTTCCAAAGGCCAAGTAACCATTTTCCTCTACTTTTTAGTAAACCAGATGAACTCAGCAGGATTACATTAAATTGATCTTCATTCTTATTTGTATCTGTTCATTTTACACAGGATTCTTATCAGGTTGTTCTGTTGTTCCTCTTAACCCTTTAACCTCTAAGAGTGACGAGCATCTAATTTCTCCTTACAATATCACCCCTGAATCAGTCAGTAAGGTCACGAGAATAAAGCAAATGATCACCAACTAAAGAAGCTCTTGATCGTTAGACAAATTCTCCTTGTCAATACCATAGGAAATGTCTGGAAAACAGTATGGAGAATATGCCTGATGATGTTAGGGATTGAAGGGTTAAGACTAAACCTAAATAAAACTAGTTTAACCTGATAACATGATAGAAATAAATATAAAAATTAGATGAAGAAGAAAGATAAATTTATTGAGAGTTGTCCAGAATGGAGCAAATAACCGCCTAATCACCTCACTGTCCATGGTTAAGAGGTCAAATTTACATGTATTTGCTCTCAGAACCAAAACTTAGAGTCCATTACCTTTGTCAGGGAGAGAGTATTAGGAAGATTTTTCAACCCATTGACTCCCTGGAGTGACCAAGAAGAGAAATTTTTATTTACAATATCCATACATTTTCTAGCAGGATGTAACGACCAGAAGGATAAAATATCAACAGGGTGACATTGATTGATTTAACATCAAATTCTCAGGACAAGAATCATAAGCAACATATGGGGATGGTACAGATAATTATTTCTTAAATCTTGGTAGGAAAAGAGTTAGAGAAAATATATTACAATTTTCTCAAGACATACAGAACTTTTGGTCATAGCTCTAGGTGACCAAATAAAAGAGGTCTGTAAAGAGAAGTTAGCCTATCCATAATATTTTTCCTGTACACAATGTTATTTACATCTTGACTCTTTCACCCCTAAGAGTTACTAGCATCTAATTTCTCCTTACAATTTCACCCTTGAATCAAACATGGGGGTGTCGAGAATAAAGGAAATGATCACCAACTTAAGGAATACTTGATTGTTACAGAAATTCTCCTTGTCGCACCTTAGGAAATGTAAAGAGAACATTATGGAACGCAACTTTGTGGCTGTCTACGTAAACGAGTTGATGATGTGTCAATGGTAAACTCCCTCTTTGGAGGCGTTGTAAGACCGCTGTAAATAATCTGAAGGCTTCAAGAAGTTCATCGCACATCCCAACAAAATTGAAAGTCGAGTTGCCCCCCCTCCCCCCCTCCCCCCTTCCCCCCAGTATTCAGACCATGTTGTTAGAAGGGAGAGCCCTCTATCACAGCGCCTAAGGGGTGGGCTGAGACTCGCCACAAGCCTATCAACTTAAAAATAGACAATTACTGATAATTTAGATGTAAAGTTTGGCTGCTTCACTTTACAAAGCAACAAAGGGTTGAAAGTTCGAGTCGTGGTGAGTACAATATTTGATTACTGTTAATTTGCTGATGTGTTAGTGTGATATCTCATCAATTTTACAATACATATTTTCACGCCTTTATAATCAAAGCTGCTCTTACGTAGACCATTGCTATATTGAAAACGTCGTTTTGATTAAATTCTCTTTATGTTTTAAAATGCTTTTCATATCCTAAGGAAAACAATCTTTTGCGCATTAAAATCGTTATTTCTGCCGTGTTGAGTCAAACTGGTTCATTAAGAGAATATTAACTGTTGTCATTCGACTGGTTTCATTTATACCTATTCAGCGTTTGGATAACAATCGAAATGCTTGTACGAACTTAATCCAATACAAATGCCTAACTTGTGTACAAAAACGTTTTGAAGAGTTTTTTAAATGTTTATTTCACGAGCGGGGCCAGTTATCTTCGGCGAAAAAAAAGGTTCCGATGCATAAAGATGGTAACCGTTGTTGGTGTTCCCAAGGTAAAAGATGGGTAAAATATGGCAATTGGAAATTGAAATATTTTGAATTTTCATCAAATAAGCAGAGATTCTTCTACACATTAGACACGTCTAATATTGTTGCCTTGGCCGCCCTAAATAGCTAAAGGTTTTTCAGGGTCGGTGATAATGCAGAGTATATTCACAGTAATACTTCATTTCAAATTAATTCAAGGCGGGCAAATATATTTCGTGTGATTAGTTTACTTTGTGCGATTAATTCACGAGGAAGATGGAGAGCGATTGATTTTCAGGTTCATAAGTGGCTTTTTTTGTTCTTTGAGAATCGAACTTAAACCCGTTATTCTCTCTTTGGTTTAAAAAATCTTTTTTTTTACCTATTAAGTTTTGACGTCTTTCTCACAGTGGCTGTTTGCATTTATCTTTGTTTTGCAGGGAACGTTATATTTCAGTTTCTTACTTTTGGTTTCATTAATCATACCACCAGAATATTGAGGAAGTCACGCTTCTTTTTCAAAAGGTTAGTAGTAAAAAAATAAATTTAGAAACATTTTTTCCCGGCTTACAAAACTGAAATGTTTTGGGTTTGAACATTCAACGGAAGAGGATTTAAAGCTCCAAATAATCTTAGATTTTGGCAAAGATTTGTTGCTAAAAACTTGACTTAAACTTATCGTAGTCTTCAAAAGTAAAAAAATTAACTCAACTCTAGGTCTTTAACTTCCATGATCTTACTAAGTATCCATTCTAAATGTTATAAATGTCACTATAAATACTTTGAGATAATGAAGTGTTGCGCCAATTCAACAACGTCCATATCAGTGATAAGTTTCTTTATTCTCCAAAACTGTCGGCTGAATGATATATTGACACTTTAGGGAGAAGTTGTCCGCGAAACAATTTGGTATAGTTAAAGTCTGAGACTAAAAGAGTAAAAGCACCCACACGATACAGGAAAAGGAAATTCTGATGCAAAAAGAAAAAAGATGCAGTGTTTTTTAATTCAAATTATGGGAAAATTTAATGGAATCTAGTTCTGTTTTTGGTTTCTAAACGATTTTTTTGTTTTACCGATAAAGCTGTTAGTTTTTTCACACTGTTTATTAACCTTCATCTCTGTTTTGCAGGGGAAGCGTAATTTCAGTTTCTTACTCTCGTCTTCCTCAGTCATACGATCAGAATAAACAAGGCACACTGCCTTGTTCAAGGGTAAGTAACAAAAATAAAGAAGAAATTAGCTTGCATTCTTTTTCCAATTTTTTTCTTTTAGCGTCTTCGCCGCCTCAAATCAGGCGCAACAGA